GTGGGTGTGGGTGTGGGTGTGGGTGTAGGTGTGGGTATAGGTGTGGGGTGTGCGTGTGGGTCGCACTATACCCACACCCACACCCACACCCACACCCACACCCACACCCACACCCACACCCACATTCAGTTTGGTCAGAAGAGGGTTCTCAAGAATGGAATTTTACCATAAATAGGTGTTTTCAGGATGAGGTTTTTCCCAAAATACGGGTCAGCTGAGGACTTCGTATATAAAAGTTGGTAGTGCTCTCCGTGACCTACAATCTCATCAAAAAATCCGCATAAGATCTCTATAAACAGCCTCTATAGAAGATCAATTTTGGCAGCTATGTACGTATAAGGTTGGCATTCCTCCTACGTGACTTTTGGACTTCGAGTTTCAGTTTTATTTTATTTATTAAGCCTAGGTTATTTTTTACCCTAAACACGATGATCATCTTCTTTTCTCTTCATTCTTAATCATTTTTGCATAGAAAAAAAAATAGGGATACTCAATGTGTTATTTTAGGCAAAACCCTATGGATTCTGATTAAAGTGTTATCAAATAACGTTACTACGGTAGTCTTGAAAAAGGTCTCAAAATCATTTGATATATTTCATGGAGTTCTACAGTTATTATGTGACAAAAATAACTAGCTTCTGATAAATATTGTTCTTTTGGGCAGATTTCAGTGTAAGAACAGCAGTTTAATCTTCGTACTTATAGAGACATGGAGCAACTCATAATATGAGATTGTCCTCACCAAGTGTGATGGATCCCTGGCCACGATCCCGTGGCACACCACCTGCTACAATGCCCTCTGGTCAAGATTCTGTGGCACCATCGTCCTCACAGTAAAACAACTCTAATCACTCAACTTTAAATAGATAGTTATGAGGTTCGGTATTGAAGTCAATATGGTATAGGTTACTCGAATACCCGGTTTAATGGTGTTATGACATCTATGATATAACGATGCATGTATTATATCGAGCGTTCAGCGACTTTTGCAGATCTTTCACATTTCTATATATTTATTGGAATTTCCTGGTTAACTTCGAGTAAAATTCGCCGGATTTTTTCCGGTGATGTCTGGTGTATTTTTTCCTCTTTCCTGAAGGAAGCTGACTGCAAGTCACTGGGAAAAATCCGAAAATTTTCCGACAGGAATAGTGCAACCGTGTTCCAGCGACTCCCGGCGTTTTCCTTCCGGAACTGTCCCGTACTTCGCTATCTGCGGAGAGATTCAACATTGGGCATATACACGAGAAGAATATCAATATGATTTCGAGGCACGAATCGCTGAAGAGGACGTTTGCGTCGTGGAGAAGGAAGAAGAACAGTGCTACTGTTAGTCCAGATATTCAGTTGGAAATGATAGAGTTGGGGACATAAAGTTAAAATATATGGAACAGCGTTCAGATTTGCGCAGATGATGAACACCGAGCGAATAGAAGGCGACTGAAACTATGAATGAATAACGCCTGAAGTTAGGATTTTAAAATAAGCATGATAAAGAGAAGGAAATCGGTTCGGGAAGACATCATGGATGATTTGATACAATGATAAGTAATCTTCTGTGAATCCATGGAAAAGATAAACAAGATGAGGGAGTTGGTCGGTTTGAATCCGCTCCAATTGGACCTTTGTTGACTCAATCAATATGGAGCGAGCGTAAATTTGAATACTGACGAAAATCAATTTCATCCGGAATTTCGACAACCAATCGAACGATCTGACGATCAAACAATGCTATCACTGATCTTTCGTTTTTTTCAATAATGAGAGAAAGATTCTTCAAAGATCGAAATTGAGTGCCGAGAAGCCGTGAAACAGATCTCGAGCGCCGACGCAATCAAAAATATCTAGCAGAAGTTCGTGTGAAAAATGTTCAAGGCGAGTGTAATCCCGAACATCGACGAGATAGATCAAGATCGAGTATTCCTCTTTCACACATCTTTTGTCGTGAACAGCTAAAATCTTTTCTAGACGAAAAGCGAATGATCAATCAATTCGCTCGTTGAACATTTGTCCATCTCTTTTACGCGCCACTCGAATCAATCGAAATCTGTCGATCTGTTCGAATGATCGTTTATGTATTTCGAAGGACGATCAAATTCTTTCTGACATCAATTCAAACATCAATGGAGAGAAAAATCAGCGATGTTCTCATCATCAAATCTCAATTTGAGAATCAAATCAATTCTCTTTTCAGTACGATCCTCGAGTGATCAACGACAATCAAAAGATTGCATCGATAGGGATGAACAGATTGAGGCAGTTCTTATCAAACGACGCCAAAAAAGTAAATGTGTGCAGGACCCCATCGGCGTTGTTCACGACCGAGAAATAGGCGCAGAAATCGATCGAACGATGCCGTCGAATCAGTGAAAATCTCATTCGATTAGACTCGAAGAAGGAGAGTGGAAATACTTTGACCCTTTGTGTGTATACTCTTCTCACAGCCCATGGTCAAATGTGGGCTTCAAAAATAGAGACTTCTTCAAAATGGAGCTATTTCTTCTTTTTTCACGCAGACTCACCTTAACATGTTCCTGTCAGTCCTTATTAGTTTCCGGATAATTATTTCCATATTCGAAAGCAGAAACTCACAAGCGATGAATATTATCTTAGAACATTCGCAGAGTGGAAGTATACTTCCGATCATCTTCTTCCAGTCAACATCTCTTCTTATCCACCTTTTATTTCTTGAAAAAGACGAAATCTTTGTAGAAACGTTGAGAAGGTAAATTTGAATAAATAAAAGAAACAAGAATGATATTAAAATACTCTTCTCACAGTCTGCTCTTTCACAACCTAATTCAAGCTGATTTTCTCAATTCTGACAATGAGGCTTCAATATTGATTACATCAAACCTACCCCTCTCTTAGAAAATAGATGTATTACAAAACCTAAAAGAGTATAGAGAAATGCAACCATTTGAAAACTGTTTTAAGTTTCGTAATAAATCTATTTTTTAAGTGAGTACAGCAGTGAGTGATTCATACATAAACTTTGCTCTACAAGTAGCTACCAGAAAAATAAAATAAAGTTTTATTGAATTATTTCTGTGAACGGTATCTCAAGCATTGACTTATGAAGTCTGTTGAGGATTCCATGCATAAATGACAACCCAATCAACTTGCATTTGTACCATTGATGGTGTACTATTATTTGGAATTGGATTCCAATTACTACTCGTTGTTCCCGCTTGCGTTTGTAATGCAAGTCCCATCGAAATATTTGGCACATAATTTGATTGAACAGTACCCCATACCTGATCATCGATGGTGTATACTAATTTGCCTGGCGTCCATTCAACACCCATCGTATGCCACTGAGTAAAATTAACATTTCGAAGATACTGTGTTGTTTGATTATTTTTACTAGTAAAATGAAATGTTGCTTATGTCGAATCCCGTATCCCTTAACAAGAGAAACAATATGATGCGGTTTAAAAATAAGTAGTGCTACTAATACCGTTGTCGAATACAGAACCACCACCATCTTCATAAAAATCGATTTCGGGTGGCCATGAATTATCTGATGGCCATAATAAGGCTATAGCGGCAATTCCGTAACCTTAGAATAAGAATATATTTTCTAAATCATATATTTTACTACATTTTCATTTAGGATTACTTTACCAGGATCAACGCGTTGTCGAACTAAATATTTTCCGTATGTTGAGTTCGAACCATAGCCTTGAATTGTCGATACTCCCCCAGATTTCCATGTGTTATTAAACTTTGGATCGCGGTAACTCTGTAATTCAAGTAAACCATTTTCAACAACAACATGAGATCCATCCCATAAAGTGCCACCATATTTGAACCAACTCGGGTAATGAAGAGATGAGCCAGAAAAATCATCAGAAAACGCTAAAGTCCACCCAGTTAAATTCGTTGTTGGCATAGAAAGACCAGATGGACTAGCTTGAATACAGTCGATGAGAATGAGAAAATGGATATACACTAAACGAGATCACATATGTCTATATCTATCAGTTTACAAAAAGACTTCCTTACAGATTTTCTGGAAGATAACTCTGTTATTGTATAAACGTAAAGACATTCTTGTCATCTTCCACTTGTGTTTCGACGATAGAAAAAAATCTGAAAAATATTTTACTCAGGAGATGTAATGCAATATTAATCTCGTCGAATAAAATGAATCCTGCAATATTATGTTTTGTTGAATTTAGAGATTGTCATTCGATTTTTCTTTAACTTTTTTCATTCTGTCAAAATATTATCGGAGATACCTGCTAAGTAGCAATTTAAACTCAATAAAATAATCTTCGAAAAACAAAAACATCCATTTTTCTAATTATTTTTATTAACTTCAGATTAAGGTCACAGAGAGAATTATTGCGCACATTTTCTTGCGAAGATGAAAAAGAAGAAAAATCTATATTTTTGTACTGAGGATGAGGGTGAATCAAGCAACCCTTGTTACGGTTTCATCCTTGCTCAAGGATCATCAGATAGCTTTGACTAGAATACTAGAAATGCGAACAGACGAACAAAGCGGATTTATGCAAGGAAGACGCCTATAAACTCACATCTTCTCATTAATTGAGAATCTACGTCTCACGCACGATGGCAGCATGCAACCGTCCGGCACTAACAATCTGTGTGGAATTGCATTCTGCTTTCGACAAAATGTGGCACTCGGCAGTGATAAAAACACTTAAAGAATTAGAAATGCATATAGTTCTATGGAGATGGACACACTAGTTGTAACGAATAATGAAAGACGGATAGTGTTTCGTTACGGCAATAGCATTATATTATTGTGATCACAAGACAAACTGGACGAGTAGTGTTACCGCTATTCTCGGTATACAATGTAAACTCTACTACCCGATTATCCAGTTGTGTTTGTTTTGTTCTTTTGTAGGCTCTTATATAGTAGTTACATTAGATGACTTAGTTACACAAGAGAAGAGAAGAAACCAACATACGCATAGAACGTTCGAGGTTATACCAAAACGAAACAAGAATGAGAACTCATTAGCTGCGAAGATGACATTGCACAAGGGCGATATCATGCATAAGGATGACATCGAACACTGATGGCATCATGCAAGGATAATATGTTGTAAATGTATTGTGCCTGTCGGAATGTCATCCACCTCAATTGAGACGCGCTTCCGATCGTCTATATGATGGAAGATGATAAGAGAGAATACGATCGGTGAAAAACGTTTCCATACACAGAACGCATTGTATCACGACTGCGTACATTAAAATTGAAATTATTGCTCTCACTTGTAACAGAGTTGAGTTCACTACAGCATAGATTTATACAAAAACACTTATGTCAAACGCCACACCGATGCTTCGCAAAAAAAAACAATAAAATCCAGTACCAATAGGACTGATTCAAGATATTCATGAATATATCCATTCATGCAATATTTTATCCTTAACAATCAATGTTTTATCGAAACAAAAGTTTCCATATAAATAACTGTTTGTCTCTCATGCGTAAAACAAGAAAAGGTTCACCTCTCTCTATATATTTTTTTATTGTATCGTTGACAATGGCTTATTCATAGCAAATGCGAGAAATGATTTGATTAATATGAAGAAAGTTGAAGAGATTGAAGATGAAAAGACATGAAACGTACAGATGTTAAGAAGGAAAAGTACATTGACTTTTGCACTATCGACCCACGAGTAGCCGTTCTTAAGTACGTCCAATGATGTTCTATCCAGCTGCATGCTCGTGAGGTAATAGATCCAACTAGTAAGTACCGTTCGAGTTCATATATTTGTTGGTAGTTGAGATTGACCATGTTTACAAACTATCCAGAATAATTCGTATCATGGTCGCTTGGTTTCAGAATTAGGAACAGAGCAAGAATTATGGCGGTTGGTGCTAGCTTCTCTGAGTTATTTGTTTATCTTCTCACATTTTAACTAGGAAATCAATTTTTCCGTTTAAAAACTCAATTACTAAATTATCTTGTTTATCACTATTCATCTTTAAATTCTCAGTTGAATCTGACTTGGCTTGCAGACGAGAGAAAACTGGAGTTCTGCTAGTGATTCCTCTATCTCATTCAAATAATACGCCACGCATTGTCGTCGACAAAAATATAAAATATTACTCTTGATATTGCATAGAACAGAATACTCTTGTTGTATCCGACTCTTTTTTGCATTGTATTTTTGGATGTGAAAGCTTTCTTTCATGCAGTTTTTTCAAAAATGCCATCACCATTACACATTAATCGGTACCTTTTCTTGAGCGTTTACGTCATTTCACCTGAGGTTGAAAAGAATAAAAGTGATTATCGGGAAAAGAAAATAAGAAATGTTCTGTATCTCCGACGCAAAGTCAGATTTCACTATGAATTTAAGGGTGAATAGTCACAAAACAGATCAAATAGTGATCAAATTTTCAATAGAAAAATGCATTTTCTAGTTAAGGCACGAGAAAAAAAATTAATAACACAGAGAATGTGGCACTACTTACATGATACTTGTTCTTCTCTTCGCTCTGAAATCAAGCGACAATGATACGCATCCTTTTGGATAATTTGTATCCATGATCAACTTCAACCATCAGCAAAGCAGGAGAACGAGCGGTACCTATCAACTGAGAATGTTCAGTTGTACAAGAGAATTTGAGCATAATAGAATCTTAAGCGGCTTACAAGATTCTTACAGAAATTTGAAAAGTTACTGAATACAGTTCTAAAACCCGAACTGTATCATAACCTAGCCAAAGTAATTGTCTCAAAGTATGTATGCAATGAGTACTGTGGTTAGGTTCGAAGTTGTCACTCTAATTGAGAACATAATCAAACACGAAGTACACTCTGAAGCTGATATGCAAGCTGAGGACAAAAACCGACCGTAACGGCTGTAAAAATGAGTACTGGTCCATGAAAAACCTTGGAATGGTACAAAACAACGAGTAAAAGCTGGACGAGAAGTTAGGCGCTGACAGTGCCCGCAATAAATGCAATCAGTCCGATAGATCTTGATATCAAGGTTGAAGTTGATAATGTGAGTTGTGTGTGATGCTGACTTCTCACTAAGATGGGTAGCAGATTAAGGATTTGAACTGCAACTGAAACGGAAATCATGACTTGAAAAGGAATCTTAATTGAAGCAAGGATAAACACGATGTTGGCAGCCAAGGCAGTTGTTGAAAGTGAGTCCCTGGTTTCTGCGGGAATCGAAAACGATCCTAAAGCCAATACTTCATCTGAACATCAATCTTTAACGAGGAACATGTCCATGGGTAGAAAATGATTTCAAAAATAACATAAAAAACCAATACCTTCTGCCATAGGTAGAAGGGATGCTTAAGCTTAGTTTTAACAGCACCAACGGCATTAAGCAGCATACTACTGATTGTGAAGCATTCATATTTTATCTATACTGTGCAGCGATGGAAAGAAAAACAAATAAAGCCGTGATATAATGCACATTTTTTTGCAATCATCGATTACCTCTCTCTCTTCGTCAATTAAGCTGTCTGATCGATAAATGATAGAACAAGCAAAAGAATGAGATAATTCGTACGAGAAAAAAATTCAGTGTGTCTGAATAATATATGATCATGCTTTATCCCACGTATACGGTTGAATGCACGCAAGTCAAACATTTTTTCGTTATGTACATAAGAAAAATAATGCTTTTATTTTCTTTGTTAAACAACGTCGATACGTGACCATAGGGACGAAATATCGTACTTTTATACTTTAAAGTACGATGAATTACAGTGAAGTACGGTGAAGTACATTAAAGTACTCTTAGGTACGCTAAAGTACCTTAAAATACTTTAATCAATCGAAGGCATCTTGCTTCTGTATTTTGCAACGCTTTAATGCAATTTGCAATACTTTAAAGTATTTCCTTATTCTTTAATGTACTTTAGTGTAATTTGAGTGTGTCTGGTTTTAAACTGTCATTCTTTTACCAGAAATTGAGACAGTGAAAGGAGGCACTCTTTCACAAGAATTGTTAGAAAAAGCCGAAAACACAATCCGTTATTGGTTTTCTTTGATTCTAGCTGCACAGCTTATTCAACCGTTCTGTACTTCTCGAAAGAGTCCATATCAATAACCCATGTTTGTCTATTAGATTAAAAATGTGTCTTTAACGACGCCTGCATTGACTAAGGCTCACCCTATAGAATGTACTGAGTGCAGGATACTCAAAAAAGTACCCTGCTACCAGTATGCCACAGGAACTTTAAAGTACCGAAGTACTTGAAAGTACTTGGTTGGTACTTTTTTGGGTATCCTGCTACGAGATATTCAGTAATTACGTACTTGAAGGTACTGATCAAATACTCAAATGGGTACTATTTCACAGTATGTTTAGGTACTTTGTTACCAAAACTGCAGGATGTTGATGATCGAACCTAACCTTAGCCCTTTTCAGTTTTTGATTCTCTCAAAGTCATTTATTGCATTTTTTAGATTTTATTTAATTTAATTTTTCCCATTTTGAAAACTCCAGCAAGTCAAGTTTTGGGATCTGATCGGTCTTGAGTTGATCAAGTCTCTATCAGACAACTTCAGAGCAGTTCGTTCTTAATTTACGATCAAGATCGGCAAGTTCTCGACGAATAAATAGTCAAGAAATAATCTAGAAAAAGTTAGTATGAAATTTCATACTAACTCCAGCAAGTCAAGTTTTTTTATACGGAGCCGTGCATGCAAAAGAAAATGGGTGAATGAACAGTCGCTACACAGAACGGGTCAAATCTAGGATACTCTGTAGAGCTTTCTTCAGTAAAATTACAGGCGCAGGTACCCATACAAGTACTTGTTCAGCGAACATACTGCTTTGGGTACCCAATGCAGTTCCTGCATCATTATGATTACTGAGATTTTTCGAAGTACTCATATCAGGTACCTTGTTACGGCTTTCTCAGTATATGGATAC